ACTTCTCCAAGCAAGACACGCAGGCAGCCCATGGGCCGTAGGAAACCTCCCATCGCTCCCCATCAGGGAAATGCTCATCCAACCCCCATGAGACACCCCCCCACACTGTGAGGATGGCCCCCATCTGGGTCAGGTGACCGAAACAGCAATGCTAGTGGGAGATGGAGGAAAAGGGCCTCTTGCAATGCTGGGACTGTGGACTGGTCAGTCCCTGTGGGCATGGCGTGGCGTGTTCTTCAGATGATAAAACTAGGTCTGTCATCTGACCCAGCTAGTCCACTCCTTGTATCTGTCTGCAGAATGCAAAACACCAGTTCAAAGGGACGCACACACTCCTGCGTTCACACGGCCCTACTCCAACATGCACGTTATGGAAACAAGGTAAATGCCCAGGAATGTATGAATAGATGAAGAAGACAGATAAAAAGACAAAGATAAACTCTTGCCATTTGCAACCACATGGATGAAGCTGGAGGTGGTGATGGGAAAGTGAAATAAGTCAGAAGGAGAAAACAAACATGGGATGTTTTCTTCTTGTTCTTCCCATGCTCTGCCATGGGTAAGACCCTCTGTGTGTTTTTATTTTTTTATTTTAATTTTTGGGTTACATGTTTGCTTCGTTATATGTATCCATTTCCTCTCACACTCCACCAAGCCACCCTTACTCATACAAGATCTAACCAGATCTAACCACTTTCACCTCTCTCATGTCCTCTTTTAATTAGTAAATTCTTTTTCTAAGTCCAAGGTATTTCCTGCTCTATTTTACCTGTTTGTTTTTTGATTCTTTATATTCCACAAATGAGTAAAACCATGTGATATCTGTCTTTCACTTTCCAACTTATTTCACTTAACATCACCAAAAGACACATCTATTTTCTACCAGATACTACTTCATCATTTTAACAGCTGCATAATATTTCATTGAGGATCTATTCTACAACTTCTTTATTTATTCATCTGTTGAAAGCCACATAAGTTGGCAATTGTGAACAGTGCTGCTATGTACATAGGTGTACGTAAGTCTTTTCATATTCAAATTTTCATATTTTTAGATTAATACCTAAAATTAATCTAAAATTAATGCTATTGCTGCATCATACAAAATTTCCATTTTCATTCTCTTAAGAAATCTCCATACTATTTTGTATGAGGCAACCCCACTTTGAACGCCCACAGACACAGGATGTGTTTTTCTTTACTTCCTCACCAACATCTATAATTTCCATACTTTTGATACAGGCCATTCTCAGAGTTGTGAGGTGATAGTTTACACCTGTGGTTTTGATTTGAATGCTCCTTTTAACAAGTGATGTTGAACCAGTTTTTATATGAAAATCTCTACTTAGTGAGAGCCAAGTACAGAAGGAATCAAAGACAGACTGAAAGTGCTTTGGTTTTGGTGTGGTGTGTTAACAGTGCTGAAGGGGAAGATCACCTCTAGAATGCAAACAAGCGTGTAAACTAATGCTTATACCGCAATAAAAAATTTTTTCAGTCTCTTTGTGAAGAATTTTCTTTGTTCCTGGAACTCCTCTTTAAGATTTTGTGTCTTTATAATCTGCCTTTGACTGACCTGCCAATAGCTCATTTAGCATTTTTTTTTAAAGATTTATTTATTTATTTGTGCATACAGAGCTGGGCCAGAGGTTCAGGGGCAGCGAGAGGCTTCACCAGAGACAGAGCGGGGAGCAGAACAGGCAGATCTACAAAGTACACTGCTGAGGGGAGCAGCGGGCGGGTCCCGTGCCATGTGGTCACCTCCAGGGCAGGCGGGAATCGAACTCATGTGGATGCGGCTTTAGCTTCTCAGTGCTGTGCTTCAACCCGCTGTGCTTCAACCCGCTGCGCCACCAGGGAGGGCCTCATTTAGCATTTTTAATCTTGTTTTAAACCCTTCCTGTGACTGGCCCTCTATTTCTGTATCCTTTACATGTGTCCCAGGACTTCTGTTCTCTTTTTGTTTCTCCATTTTGTGTTCACAACTTCCTTGCTTCCTAAGAATGTGTTACCTTATCTGCTTTCTTGTGGTTGGGATGCACTAGTTTTGGTTTTGGTTATCTTCTTTCTTTACCTTGGCAGGAGGTGGGGGTAGGTGTGGAGCTGGGACTTGTGTACTTGATCTCAGTTTTATGGAAGAGTAATTAGTCACCCTGCCTGTTTTGCCACAGTGTGGCCAGTTTACTGCTTCCATTGAGCTAACGTGCCCCTCTGCCTCTCCGGTGGTCCGTTCTGCAGTGGGTCCATGAAGACCGAGTCTCCTAAGGGGGGCGTGTGGGGGAAGCTCAGGTCATCAGGCTCAAGCTACTACATGAATTGGGCCTGGCAGGCAGGAGTCACCAGAGTAGGGGATGGCCCTATGGCCCAGCTGCAGCCATAGGCAAAGGTTGCCAAAGTAGCCTCTACTGCTGCCTCCCAGGATCGTAGAGTGTAAGTTCTGCATCCACTTGATACTTTGCAAGGGATTGTGGGTCCTCTCTCACCAGTCTTTTCTCTGCCACTGGGGACAGTAATGGAGGCTGGCATGGCTCTGCCTGGTGACCCTTTGATCTCTCACTTCGGGGAAGGGGTGGGGGGAGGGCACTGGTGGTGGACTCCCCAGTGTTTTAGGTCCACCCTGTATCTGAGTGCCCACACCCCCTTTATGGGAAGTCCCTCCGGGACTTTCAGCGTTCTGAAGCACCTCTTGGTGCTGGGATACCTGACACAGCCTGTTTCTGGAATCTACTTTCCTCCCTCACTCCTGTCCCTCCTCCCCTGTCTTTCCTTGCAACAAGCCCAAGGCTCAGGGTGAGTTCTCTGTGGGGCAGTCCTGGGGTTCTGTTGGGGGAACTTCCACATCTTCCTTGGAGTAAATTCTTTTATAGATTGTAGGGGAAAAGCTGACCCCTGACCTCTGTTCCACCATGATGTGTGTATTTCAGGTTTATTTTATGTGTCAGTCATATCACAGGGAAGTTGGGTGAGGGGTTCGGAGGGAGAGTAATGGAAAGGGAAACAATCATTCTATCTGCAGTACCACAGTGTGGCAACACTGCCCAGATATACCCACTGGCACAACCCTTGCGTTGGGCCAGAAAAGCATTAGCGCAGCATGCAGACAAATAAGGATTCTGAAAGTGCAGAAACAACGGAACAGGGAGACCTCCCCCTCTAGAGCGTTCTGGCTGTGGAATCTGGCAGATTTGCAAGTGATTTGCGAGCAGGGTCTAACAACACAGTGCCTTTCTGAGGATTCCAGTTTATTCTTGTTCTCTGCCTACCCATCCATTCCTCCTGCCACGTGACCAGCTCACAGAATATGGTCATGTGTTCAGGCTGTCACAGGGGACACAGTGCCACTGGTTCCAGTCACAGGGCAGGGGGACATGTTGCAGAGTGCCAGTCATTTTCTGTATGGATTTGTTATTTTTGGCTGTATGGCCATATGCAGGGAAGCCACGTTTTTCCAGATCCTGCACATAGGCCCAAATGACATGGGTGATGAGGCCCTGGACCCGGTACTTGGGCAAAGTGGCTCCCATACGCAGCTCTCCTGTGTGGTCCATCAGGGCCCAGGACACCGGGGTCCCCTCAGGCCCCAGTAGGCAAAAGGAGGGGAAGGTCCTGATGCAGCGCTCGATGAATCTCCTGCTCTGCTCATTGCCGCCAAAACCCCAGAACTGGTTCACCAGGGCCGCGTGGGGCACGTCCAGGGCAGAGAACTTAAACATCTCTTGGTTTCTGTTGAGAACAAGAGAAAAGAATAACTCATAACACAGAACATCATAGTAACCTTCCCCAAAATGATTTTCTGACTAGCTATGTGATTTTTGACTAGACTATGCCATGTTTTTGCCTCCGTTTCTTTTATAAAAGATGATACTAATGACAGCTCTGTCAAAAAGCATATACGAATATTGTAAAACCTATTGCCTGCTAAGTACCTTAAAATTATGCCATCTAAACCAGTCAGAATTACATGAAAAAATGAGAGTGTTCTCACATTTGCTGTGACTTTGCACATAAAAGGGAAGAATTGACATGGCCTCTGTTGTACGAGTTAGTAAACAGGAAACAAACAAATGCCCAAAGCCCATGTTAGCAACTGTGAAGTCGGAGAATCACAGAATCACAGAATCTCATGGTGTTGGTGTCAGAGGGTCTTTGGCCACTGTGGGAAACAGGTGTCCAGAGGGAGGCAGTGGCCCCCCGAATTGCAGGTGTTTGAGGGGTTCTGCCATGCCTTCCAGAGGTACCGGAGAAACCTACACTGTGGAGCTAGAAGATTTACTGCAGAGCTTCAATTATGCCCTCGACCTTCCAGAACAAGGTATTTCAGTACCACAGCTTGCTTTTCTGCTTCTTCCAGGAAACTGGGGAAAGGGTCTCCTCTCTGATTCAACTGTGGTGATAGATCTGAGCTGCTTCTTGGTACCACAGGAGATACAATGTGATTAAGCTTTTCAGGATCTCTGAACACACAGAGGACCACAGCCCTGGGCCCCTGCAGACCAAACACAGGGTCTGAAGTGGTATTTGGGTGACTGAACGGATGGGGGAAATACCTGATTTATGTCCTGGAAAGCTTGTGCCCTGCTATGACAAATCAAATGTGTATTTAGTAAATGTCTAAAGCGTGTTCTGGCTCCTGAGGATGTGACAGGGACATGGTGCTTGCTCCTGTGGCATTTGAAATATTGAGGCGAGGATGAGCAACAGGTGGATAAAAGCACAAAGTAGCTCATTTCAGATAACGACAGGAGCAGTGAAGAAGTGGGTTTTGTGATGAACTTTCGGGATGGAGGTAGATTAGACAGGGTGCTCTGAGCAAAACTGTCAGGAAGTCACATTAGAGAACATGAATCGTAAGGAGGAGGCCCATGTGTGCAGGCCAGAGGGGATGCCGTTTTAGGCAGAGAGCACATGTGATGGCCCACAGGTATGTGAGAGATTGTAAGGCCAAGTGGTAGGAAAGTAGGACAGAGCAGCTGGTGGGGGTGACCGAGAGGGACAAGAGGAAGCCCAACAAGTGCAGGTTGCCAGGTCTATGGGACTGTGAAGGTCTTTGAAGGAGTCTAGATTTTATTCAGGGTGAGCCAAGAGAAGTCGATGGCGCTAAGCCTGGGAATGGACCTAATGCCTGTTGCAGCAGCCAGGACAGGGATATAGGGAGGGAAGAATGAGTGTCAGGAGAAGAGTTGGGAGGTCTCAGCAGCAGTGCAAGGGGTGAGTCTTGCAGAGCATCTTATGACAAACTCACATGGGCTTGGGCTCGCCAGACATAAGAGGTAACTTCTTTGTCTCCCACACAGAAGGGAGCAGTTCCTTTGCCGTCTTGGGTGTCATATAAAGAAAGCATTGTGTTTGCTTGACCTTAACCGAGTTAGCAGCGGCAACATTCTGGATCACCTCATGCAGGCTAGACTGTGAACCTAGAGGCAGGGAAAGAAAGATCAGCACTAATTAATTGTTCAGTTCCCTCCCTGGTGGTGCAACAGGTTAAAGCCCAGCACTACTAAACTGGCCGCAGCAGCTTTAGCACGAATTCAATCCCCGGCCAGGGAGCTGAACCACATGGGTAGGAGACCTCTCCTTCCCCAAACTGTGTACTTCATCAGTCTGTCTGTCTACACCATCTCTAGAAATCCTATTACCACCCTGGCACTTCTGGCCTGTACCCCAGTTCTGTATACATAAATAATTAAAAAAAAAACCTAATTGTTCAGGTTAGGTACAGAAAGAAACTCCCCAATGGAGTTGGCAATAGCTGTGTGACTGTGCCACTTTCCAAGAGTGCCTTCTCTCACCCCACAGAGCTAACACTGATGATATTAGTGGGCAGTCAAGGGAAAGGTTGCATGTATACAATGTTAGTCACTTCATGTGTTCACATATTACATGCCCAGGTGCTGGTCTAATTCCACCTAATTCCACATATAATCCTTATATTGGTCCTATGCTTCAGGTGCTTTCACTATCCTCTACTTTATATACAAGAGGAAACTGAATAACAGACATGACATCAGTTGCTCAAGATCATAATGCAAGTTAGCAGGATCAGCGAGGATGCTGTCCCATGGGCTGACTGCAGCAGTTATGGCCATAACCATGGAAGTTGTTCCTGTGACCTGGGGTTGCCCTCTGTCTCAAGGTATGATGACTGATTAAGAGCTCTGCTATAATACCTGATCTTCCTAGTCCTCTCAAATACACCTGCAGAATAGATCATGTATACTCAGCTAACAAGACATGGCATTGCTCACAGTTCTTTAGATCAACCCACAGTTTGCACCGTGGGGATTCTACACACCCCACTGAAGTGGAGGTGGCGGTGACACAGGCATGAACGTCATGCTGAGGGCTAGCGTTGGCAGAGAGAGGTGAAAGTTATCAGGAATGTGCTCAGGCTGAAAGTTAAACTGCAGGTGCAGGTGTGAGCGTCACGGAGCCAGCAGGTGTTCCGGATCCTGCCCTTACTTTGGATCTGTAAGTGCTGTTTCCAGTTGACGACCTCAGGTGTGCCGAGGAATTCTTGGCAGTTCTTGGGGTGCTTGGAGAAGATGAGGTAGGTGTTGGTGTAGTGGTAATAGTTGTCTGTCATCTCCTGCCAGGTCGGGTAATAGGAAATAAACCAACGTGACTCTACAAGGGATTGGACACTTAGTATTTCATGGCACTATATTTTCATAAGCTTAAATATTGATTTTCTTCTTAACCCATTCCTGAGTCATTTAGGTCATGACACAAAGTCAGTGGTTTAATCAATAATTCAATGTATGATGAAGCAAAATTTGCTGAAGTGATGTTTACATGTCACATTTCAAATCACCCACTTGCAAAGTATTCTGTAACTCTATCACCCTCCAGCAAAAGAAGCTACTATTAACAGAGGCAAATTTCCATTGTGAGAGTAAATCTTGCTCTACTGCACAGAGCTTCAGAACATACAGTGTAGCAATTGACACAGGGACCCGTAAATTAGAATGTTCACTTACATATAAAATGCAGACACAGACTGTCTGTCAGGATAACACACTATTATCTCAAAAAAGTCATTTGCATCCCCAGCAAAATGATGCACAGACATTCAAAAAACCTCGCAGAGTTAACAGCGTCAACAGTGGGTCTACCTGAAGCTGGAGAAAGTCCCGAGGTCGGTCGCCAGCAAGGGCAGGCTCCCGGGAAGCGCAGCCCAGCAAAGTCCTCATAACTCAGCGTTTGTGTCGCTGACAGTCAGCGCCCATCACAGAGTTGGGTGCTATCTCCTTTGCTTAGGGTGCGCCCTCTGCTCTTGCCTGCCTGTCAGGAGGTCATCAGTCTTCACAATCCAACTTGGATGAGTATGCTCCAGGAAGGGTATTTGATCCACCCCCGTTGACCTCTTTACCTATAGGTTTGGATCATCCCTTGGCCTGGGCACGGCTGTGATGCATTCGCAAATCTGCCAGGCTCACAGGGGCACAGAGCAAATTCGAGCAGAGAAGTTTTTCATCACACTTTTGACAACTTACCTGCTGCTGGGGGCGAACGACCACGGTGCCAAAGTCAGGCCACGTGTCCACCAGGGCCTGGAGGTTGAACGGGTTTCCCTGGTTCATGTGGAAGATGGTCCCGTAGACCTGCAGCAACCCAGGAAAAGAGGGGGTTCAGCTGATTAGGACAGATTCTCCCCTGGGAATCAGGTCCAGTAACCTCTAGGGCATCTAATTTACAGCAATAGTCTACTGATCACTCCCACTAAGAGACATCATTGTTCCCTCAAACGACCACCAAGTCCATCTCTATGGTGCAATATCTAAGCCCATTTCTAAATCAACATTTCCACCTCATCCTAAATTAAATGTCCTTTATGGGTTTTGATAAAACGGAAACTGAACTATTATTTGTTTCAAAGAAAAGTCATCATGGTTCATCTTTCACTGAGCACTTGATTGTTTGAGAAGAATAAATTAAACATTAATGTGTTACTTTGTCACTGCCATTCTGGGCAAACTGCCGTGTTGCATAACATGAGTCTTTACGAGGCACAGGAAGGTTTGGGGAACAGAACAGCAAGATCAAGGAGGAGACTGCTCCGAGTTCAGCCAGTTTAGTTGGCAGCTCGTGGTCAAGGCTCACATCTGGGCTCTAGTTCCTCTTTGGGATGTGGACACCCAGACCTGCCCCACAGGGAGTGATGGGAACTAGCTGAGATGAAATGGGTGGTGCCTGGTGCAAAACAGGGCTCAAGGAGGGCCCCTTCCCGCATGGGGGAGAGGGTGCTGGTTTGAGGTGTTGCATTCTCACCTTTAAGGACTCAGGAAGGCTCTTCCTCAGAGATTTCTCTAGCATCTGCAGCATCTGCCCACCCTGTACATGTAACATCTTGGCAGGAACCTTCACCTGAGAAAGGACCAAGAACATCAAAGAATGAGACGTAATGAAAGCCGTACAAAGACCCAAAGCAGGCAGACACCACTTCTAAAGGTGTGCACCCCCAACTCCCCCTTGTTCTTGGGATATTTCTTTGCACCCAAATTTGCTTCTGGTTAAGCTAAACATTGTCAGGCAGGAAGATTCTCACCAGGACAAAAGTCTTGGCATGAGGCTATCTGCTGAAAACAGCAGGCAAATATTATGGCCAGATCAGCATACCCAGCTAGACCACCTCACCAGGAAGCTACATGTACACAGGGATCTAGATAGGACATTTCAATCAGCAGATACAATGGAGCCCCACAAGCAACAGCCCCTATTTATGCCCCCCACAGCTTGTGCCAGACATTTATGCACCCCCTTCCTCTTCACATCCACCACGCACATTGCTCCACACATTCCTCCATGGACTTGCCCACCTTCCTTGAAGCTGATACCAAATAAATGTGAGACTTGGCTACTCCAGAGATGTAGCCCTTCTAGGCCTCTCTCTCACCAGTTGGACTTTGAGTTGTTTTTCCTCTGTCCAGTGTCACTCCCAAGGTTGCTGTCCACTGGGGCAACGCAGTGGCCTAGCCTCAGGTTGCCCTGTCATTTCACTGCTGCTGGCTTGGCTAAACTCCTCCTGATTTCCAAAACCAGTAATTTTGGCAGAAAATACAGCTGCCTCCTTTTAAATCTTCATTTTTATAACATGCAGGCGGCACTAGCATTAACAGATCTACTTCCTAAGTGCTGGGTCATTCCCACCTTGTTCAGAAAACCAGGGTAGGCCAGGAGCGACAGCAAGCCAGACTCCGGTTGGGTGGTTCTGCCCCCGGAGCAGGAAGAGTCTTGGAAAGAGCCTCTCCCGCCCCGCCCAGGCAGGAGAGGGTGTGTATTTAAAGGGGAAGACTAAAGGGGCTTTCTCTGCATGGACAAGGGGCCAGCTGGTCTACCTAACTGCTGCAGGTCATTGCGCCCTGAAAGGCCCTTTGTTCTTAATGGGCCACTGTGAGTGAGCACCAGGTGGTTCTAGGAGACATGGGTGTTGCCCACTGAAAAAACTGCTTAGAGGGAGGATCAGCTGCTCACCTGGGATGGCTGTGGGAGCCTGCATGCATCACCAGCCGGCCCTCCTTGTAGAAAAGACCCAACAGAGGATAAATTATTTAACTCCTCCATGCCCTGGAAAAACACCTCTTGGAGAGTGCAGTTGTGACCCCACAATCAATACAGGTAAGTGCTTGGCACAGTGTCTCGGCCATAGTAAGCAACAATCAACTGTTATTACTGGTATTATTACTCACTGTTACCATTAGCTGAAGCAACAGTCAATGCACTCCGCCAGCCAAAAATTCCGCAGGGTGACTTTTCCTCTGTATAAGGCTCTGTGGTGAGGGTCAGTGGGGGTCATCTGCAGAAGCTGGTGTGTGGCACATGAGGTCAGGCGTTTTAGCCTGTCGCTAGTACCTGACCAGGAGCACTGTGTCATGTGTATGAACCAATTTAATTATCACCATCCCCGTAGCTTTAAGAAAGTGAAACTTTTCTTCCTGAATCAAGACAATAAAAGAACAAAGGAATCATTTCTTATGCTCCTTTTTATGGGGGACAAATAAAGGATGTAATGTACCTTTTCCACACGTGACCACTAGAACATCTGAAAATGTCTGAAAGTGATTTCATCCTGCTCCTGCGATTTTCATTTAGATGTCAGAGGAGCATGGCTTCTAGCAATCTGTGTTTTTAAACTTTCCGGATTATTTTGGTTATCATTGGTCACCTTCACTGGGATATAATTACATATATTAATTAATTGTCCAAGTGTAAGCAGCTCATTGGGTGGATTTTGAAAAATGTATATATTTAGTATTTAGCATCAGGATGATAATATGTACAATTTGAATTCCAGCAAAATCTTCTTGTGTGCTTTTATAATCCCTCACCTTACTCCCAACCCCTGGGAGCCAGTCTGGTCTCTGGCTTCTGACTTTTCCTTTGTCAGGATGTCCAAATCAAAGAATAATCTCAGGTGTAACTTTCTGAGACTTAGAGGGCAGAATGCGGAGCCCCCCAGCGCCCCAAACCTGTCTGCTCGAAATGGGTTCTGCAATCCACCACATAA